GGGGGGTTGTAAGTGCACAGCAACGGACACAGTCCGCCCGCTAGCCGCCTGAAAAACCCACGGCCGCCCTCCGCAGCTGAACTCTTACACCATCACTCGTGGTTGTTGTTGTTTTTGCGCCGCGCATTCGACAGAGGGAGACACTTCGACCTCCCTTGATTCCTGCGTCACTTCGGGTTACCATTGCAGACACAGCAGCCGATGTGATAACGAATAAAAAAAGATGGGGACAAGAAGAGATACAGCAACTCGAAACAGGGAGTGAACAAAGTAGGGCGCGCTGTGTGGGAGAAAGACAACAACAAAACAAGAGAAATGCATGGATAGCACATGGTATTCACTTAAACACTAGGTATATGTCTCCCCGCTTCATAATTCATCATCATCATCACCATAGTAAGGGATAATGAGAATGCTGACGCTCTCAGCCACACCAACGGTGGAGTTATGATCGGCCTGTCTCTCCTCTGTAGCATCTTATGTTCATTTAGCACGCCACGCGTAGGCGAGAACGAAAAATAATACAACAATTCATGAGCAGTGTAAAATGGGACAGCCATGAGCCTCATTGCTCGCTGCGCACTATCCGTCATTCTCTCCAACCATATATCCCTCCCTCCTGTCTTCTGTAGGACAGCGTCTCTCCTTAGAAATCCGCCACAGGTCTGTCTTCTGTGTCAACGTCGCTGCCTGAGATATCCTCCCACTCACTGTCGCTGCTGTTGTTGTTGCTGTCACCGGGCTCGCCAACGTAAACGCCAACACTGCGTTTCCCGCGGTGGTAGAACTCCACCGTCTCGCGCACCAACTGTCGCCGCGACAGGCTAAAGAGCGGGAGGCACATCCACACAGGCTGCACCCCAAGACCAACCACAACAACAGCGCACACCAGCAGGAACTCCGTCATCGCGACAAAGTACAGCCGCGGGTTCAGCACAAAGAAGAAAAGGTTCAACGCGCCACATACCAGCGGCACGCTGTACGGAAGCAGCGGCAGCAGGAGCGTCATCGTCACCACAGGGCCAATCCAGAACAGCGTGCTCGAAATGACGAAGAAGAGGAAAGAGAATAGTATCAGTCGTGGCTTCAGGTACGTGGGCAGCGTGCACGACGGCGGCAGCGCCCGCTCACGCCGCACGAAGGCGCTGGCGAGGGGCAACTCCGGGACCGGAACGTTGCCCTCACCACCGTTGCGCAGCCAGCGGTCGACGATTCCCAGACGCTCCGCGTCAAAGAGAAATGCCTCTATGCAGACAACGTGCCGTGCGATCCACGCTACAGTGGGGCGCAGCACCTTCAGCTGCATCCGCTGGACGGGGAACAGGCTCATGCACGCAAGCGCCGTTCCCGCACCTGTGACAATGAGCACATTCACCGCCCACCGCACCAGCGTCGCATGCCGCAGCAACGAGAGCAGCAGACCAAATAATTGACCCAAGTGTGTCAATTCGAGTAAAGCAGCTAAAGCGGTCACGCTCACCGAGTAATTCCCTATCCATAGCTCCTGATGTTGCTGCTGATGCGCATTCAACGCCGAAAAAAAAAACACGTCGGATTTATTTCCGTCGTGTCCCGACACGGTTGCCGGAAAGCCGGTGGGAAGAGGAAGTTCCAATTTGTTCGCCTCGGTATCCCCCGACATGATTAGACGGTGCAAAGCAAACACAATAGCTAGTGGGGCTGCTAAGAACATGTACAAAGCTGTCAACTCGATGAGGCTCATGCGCACGAAATCCACGCAGACGCGGAGTGGGTCAGCGTCATATATCTGCGCCAATATAAAGCCCCAGTAGGCCGCATCACCGTCAAGATTAAGGTCCACACTACGAATGAAAAACAAGTCAACGCCTGGTGCAAACAATGGTACGATGATTTTTGTTTCAACCTGCATTAGTATCATAGAGCATGCAGTCCCAATCATCCAATATAGAATGAGCCGTAACAGCGAGAGCCCTTCAAAGAATGCTTCCAATGATGTCGGAAAAGATACTAGGTGCGGCGCCAGAGCCAAGTGCACGACAATCCCTCCACAAATGGCCATCAATAGTGAAAACATCACCATCTCAACAATGTACGTACTGAACCAAAGCGCAATGTCCATGTCCGTCGCCCTGTCCTTCTCCTCCTGTACCTCATTAAAGCGGTTTCTAGCGTCGCAAATGTGCTTCCGTGGAAAGTAGAATCGCCAAAAGACCACGCCTATCACCAGGACCAAAACCAACACTACACGACCCAGCGGGAGACGAAGGGCAAAAGAGAGGGGCACGAGTCCTGTGAGTTCGAGGAGCCGTGAGCGCACCATCCCGTGGGTACAGCCCGTCCACTCCAAGCAACTGCTCACGAACCAATGCGCACGTTCTACCGTTGTGAACGGGTGCCATTTGCGCTCCGCCTCCACAACATTTTGACGGAATACGGAGCGCCACTGCACCCATCCCGACTTCACGCAGCGCCAGAAGGCAACACAGATCCAGCCATAGAGCAATACACTGGTCCACAACCAAACACCGGTCAGCGTCGTTGCCTCTGAAGTGGAGTGGTAGTTGTGGTCATCTAATTTATCATTGCTGATCCCGTCATTCAAAGGAACGGCGCTCGTGCTGTTCATGTTGGAAAATATATCCTTGTGATAAAAAGCCAATCCAATAGCACATGGAACCGCAACACCGTTCACCATAGCACTCAACAACACGGCTATTGCCTTGGCCATCAATGGTAGGAATAATTTCCACAGAAGTAGCAGCAGCTCTCCAGAAAGTGTATGTGGCAAATCACCCTCGCAACTGGAGAGAATGTTGTAGGTGGCGTCGCAGCTTGGGCACTTCGTGCGCCGTTGTGAAAACACCCATTCGTCGATGCACTCACGGTGAATCCACCCAATTGAGCCACGGCAGCGACAAACGTTTGTGATAAGCGGGTTCTCTGGGGAACTCATCGAGTCGCGGCATAGCCAGCATTCCCCCATGTATCCACTGCTCTCTTCGCAGTCTGGAGATCTCAGTGTGGTTGCTTTGGCGTCCGAAGTCGACAGGAGATGCTGTTGCTGTTGCTCGGTCTGCTCATTATCACACAGGGGCTCAGAATCACTTCGCCGCCTCATCGAAGAGAGTGGTACAAGCAAGATATCGCCTTGCTGTGTTTCTGATTTCTTTTCACCTAATTCGGTGCACTCGCCACTCGACGCCGCCGTGTCACCCTGCTCATGTGGGGAGCTGCGGGACGCCGACTGCGTATCCATAGCTAACAGTTTTGTTAAACTTCCTCCTCGTTTGTTCGGTTGTATGTGTGTTCGCTTCTATTCCCGTTGTAATTCCACCGCGCCAAATATCCCGACGAATAACACAACAGGGAAGGAAAAGAAACCGCAATCTTCACCTTTGTTATCCCTTAATCAAACTGAAATACGGGGGAATAAAGGCAAACAAAATTAGGGGAGAGAGAGAGAGAGAGATAGAGAAACTGAGAATAAGAAACAGAAAAACAACATCTGACTGTCCGTGTCTGTTTGTAAATGTATGTATATACGTCAGTGTGCAAAAGGACTATAAGAAGGCAACGCAACCGATGTCCGCAACGTACTGTGCGGTCACCTCTAGCTCCAACGGAAGGAACATCACCAAGAGCAAGCAGCAAGGTTATAGAAAAACAAAAACGAAAAAAGAAAAGATGGTCAAACACAGAACGGCAGCCGCAGCCCCCGCAAGAAGATAACATCAAGGGTCCTTTTGTCAATCACCCCCCTTCCAAAGAGCCATCTGATGGCAGAAAAGTCGTTGTTAACTCTTTTTCCTTTTTCTCAAGGTGCTTCAAATACGCATCGTACATCAGCCGCTGTGGACGGCTATTTCGCACCTCCTTGACAAATCGACTGTCTGCCACGTAGAGAATGCGGTCTGCGTAACACTCAACATCGGGGTTGTGTGTCACCATGATACAGGTCGTCCTAGTCAGGCGGTTAAGATGCAGCAGGAGATCCATGATCTCGATGGTGTTCAGGGTGTCCAAGTCACCCGTCGGTTCGTCCAGCAGCAGGAGCGGTGGGTTATTGGCGAGACTGCGGGCGATTGTGACCCGCTGTTGCTCCCCACCACTGAGCTCTGACGGCAGGTGGTGTACGCGGTTCCTCAGACCCACGAGGGCCAGCAGACGAAACGCGCGAAGTCGTCTTTCCTTCTTGGAGAGTTTGCCCATCAGTGTCATGGGCAGTTCCACATTCTCCACCGCCGTCATTGTTGCGATTAGGTTGAACGTCTGAAACACGAAGCCGATTTTGCGCAGGCGGAAGTCAGCGAGGACCGTGTCAGGTGTATTTTCGTTCACGGCGGTTCCCATTACTTCAACGGTGCCACCTGACGGGGAGTCCAGGGTGCCGATGATGTTCAGCAGCGTCGTCTTGCCGCCACCGCTAGGCCCGCGTATCATGACGAACTCCCCGCGGCGGATAGGGCCGAATCCCTCTTCGTCAGAGTCTTCGCAGAGATTCACACCTTTCAGCGCCACCACACGTACATCAGTACCCTCAATTGGGTAGCTCTTCTCGAGGTTGCGCAGCCGCAGCACAACCGGTGCCTCGTTCTCGTTGCTGAGGGAATTGCTGTCCCGCCCACGCGGATCCAGCACATTTACTTCCGTCTGCCTTGTGCTGTCAAAAGAATCCTGCATACGTGCCGCTGCTTCACGGTGTCAATTATCCTTTCCCCGTTGCACTATATGTGTTTGAGATAGCAATCCCTGCGTCAGCATCAGAAGACGCACCAGGAATAATAAAGCAGAGATCAAAAGGGAAGACATGTGGGGGAAAAGGGAAAAGAATAGTTATACTCTTATTACATACACAGGCAGATATATATATATATATGCTGAGGGACATTGAGTGAGTGAGTCAGCGCGGATCCACCAGACGAAGGCGTCCAGGTCAATTTAAAAGCAAGAAAAGTGAAAAAAAACAGCGAATCTGAAAGACGTGAATTCGTCTCGTATGCAACAATCGGAAACAGTGAAGAAAAAAGGGGGAAAAGAGAGAATTGTAAAAAGCAACACTGTACCCAGCATGTAGTGGGGGGCTTTAAGAGCTAGGGTGGCTATCGTTTTCATTCTTCATCGCCTACTCTTCTTCTTCACCCTGGTGCCCCTTACTTTTTCGTGTCATTTCCACTTCAGCGTCACTGTCATCTGTTTGGATCTGCATATATGCGGTGTTTCCCTTCCGTCGCTGCATCAGTGCATCTCTGCTCGTGCCGTCCTCTGCGGCCAGCCGCGGAGTGACCGTCAAGGAGGAGAAGAGCTCGCCGCCATCGTCATCGTAGTCAACACCACCTTCGTCGCGGAAGGACGCCGCCGACACCAGCACTTCCTCAGGAGGGATGGCACCCAACTCGTAGTTTTCGGCACCCCACCGAGTGCAGTTGACGACGATGCAAACCCCCGCAATGGAGACAGTCAATAGCACGAGCATCCCGGGTCCAGCGATGAACCCGAGGGGCCTGTCGGCTGCTGGCTCCGTTATGTTTGTAGGCTCAGCATCTGGTACCGAAGTGGGTGTCGTATCGGTAGGGTACACGATGGGGGGCGTCGTGGGGACTTTGGATGAGGAATCGATGGGAAGTGCGCTGCTGCAGTACATGTAGAGAAGGCGACCATTGATATCCGCCGCATTCTCACTCGGGCGGCCAACGAACGGTTCACCTTCCGCAACATAGAGCGAAACATTCTGGTTTGCACTGTTGTTCACATCGAATAACGATGAAGCGTTGTGCAGAAGGCGGAGAGAGATGTTCAGTGTGCCGTCCACATTTTGCAGTGCGTGGTTTAAGCCGACCGTGGGATACTTGCATATCTGTGTTACCGTCATATTCACCATGATTGTCGTATTCTTATCCTCCTTGGGGTTTGTCGTCGTCACCATTACCTGCAGCACAATGCCATGGTGCTGTGTTGCAATGAAGTCGTTGGCAAATGCCAGATACAAGCTGGCATCAGTCACCACTGAGGGCGATCTCCTCAACAAGAGCCACGTCTGTCCATTAATAAGGAAGGTAGCGTTGGTGGCACCTTGTGTGTCAGAAGCCGCCAACTTGATCGGATCCTTGTTAAGTTCCATCTTCGTGTCACACATCCAGCCCGCCTGTCCAGAGTCGCAGAGACAAAAGCCACCGTCCCATTCCTCACAGAGGGCGTTCTCGGTGCAGTTAAGCATACAAGCAGGATTTAATATCTTTTCAAAGCTGTAACGCAGCAAAAACCCGTGCCGAATGTGAGACCAGCCGGAGGCGAAGGCAATTGACAAGGCATTCTGAGAGGAATACACCACGGTACCATTTGCCCTCTTACCAGAGTCTGTACGCAACGGCGACGTGTCGTTGCCAATCACATCGTAGACTAGCAACACATCCGTTGGCTCCTCCAAATCGAACTCTAGGTATTCCAATCGAACTCTGCGGCCTTTCGGTGCATCGATATCCCACCGACACGTCAACATTGGCGAGTAGGTACCGTATCCATTTATTTGAATGTAGCCACCGCGAGTATCATTGACGGCAACTGGCCACCCGTCCTCCCGGCACCAATAGCTCCGAAGGCTGCAGTTATCACCGTAAAAGTCTTTGCAGCAATATTCACAGTTGGGGCCACTGTAGCATCCCGTTCCACCCCATTTCTCGACTTTCGGGCATGTGCACTCACCTGTACTCTTGTTGCAAGTTCCTCTATTGCTACACGTGCAGTTGGAAGAACAAGATGGGCCGTACCAGCCGTCCTTGCACATCGAACAGTTCTCTGTGGCGAAGTGATCATTGTCGCACTTGCACTTTAAGTCCTTCGTCTCGCATGTTCCGTGTCCATGGCAACGCAAATCTTCATCACAGAATGAGCAGTCAACGAATCGGTACCCAGCAGTACACTTGCACACGCCCTCAACGCACTGCCCATTCCCACTGCACCCCTTGGCACAGCTCGTATTTGACACTGCACTGCAGTTCTCGACATACTGCAAACCCGGACCAGAGACTACAAGTGCATACTTCTGCACCATTCCATCGTGCACATCGCCACCATACACAAACACGCGGAATCCTGCTGCCAGCGACGGGGAAGGCGGTAATCGAAGCTGTTCCAGAACATTCACACTATCAAGGCCGTCCTCACCGGCGTAGTACACGGCTCCTGCTGAATCAACCACCATCAAGTCAAGGTCATTGACGAGCGAGCGTGTAGAACCCTCTATGGCGCTACCTACGTCTGTCCACGCAAGTGTGACACGCACCTCATCACTTTCCTCCGTCGCTGTGGGTGCCGCAGTGAAGCAGTACACATTGTTGGTGTGGTGCATCACGGTCTCTCTGTCGCGAAACCACCCCTTCACGTCGTGGGGTGCGAAGAAGACCGAGAGGTCTAGGCGACCAAAGCCGCCCATGCGCGAGTTGTTTAGGTACACGGTTGAGTGAATCATCATCGCCTTTAGCAGTGCGGAGGAGGGCGTAGTTGTGTTCTTCAGCAGCCGGAGGTGATGGCGCATCAATGTCACGCCACCCGCCACCACCGCCGTCGCCATGGAGGTGCCCCACTTTGAGGTGACACTGCATTGCTTTGTGTGAACGTCGCCGTCAGAGAGTGCGGAGGTTATCGGCTTTCCGGGACCTAGCAGCTCCGGTTTCACGCGTTTGTCGTACGTAGGGCCGAAGGACGAGAAAGTACCAATGATGTTTTCCCGTTTGGGGTCGAAGCTGTTCATGTGCGCCCCAATGCAGATCATATTCTTGGCTCGACAGGGTATCATCAGCCCGGAGCGTGGGTCGTTGCCGGAGGCGAAAATAAGCACAGAGTCCTCCTTGATGCCAGCAAAGGCGTCGATGCTCTTCTCCACTGCGGTGTACTCCGGTGGTGCGAAGAAGCCCCACGAGTTCGTGAAGACCCGCGCCCCTGCATCGTAGCCGGGGCGAAACACATCCGTGATGTCAACAGGAAGAGTAAGCATCGACTGGCTGGGGCAGCCGAGGCCCTTGAAGAAGAGCTTTGCCCCCTTCGCAACGCCATCATATTTGGCGTTGGCGCCGCCGCCAAGCATATGCCCCGCCGCCGAACCTGCCACGTGTGTGCCGTGCCCACCTGCCTTGTCACCTATGTAGTAGTCGCCAGGAATCAAGTCACACGGTGCGTATGACACAATCTTGCGATGATTATGATTCACCTTTGGATAAATCGCAACTTCTTCCTTTGGATCGTTGAAAAAACAGCTATCATAATCAATGCCACTATCCGCCATTCCAATAATCTCGCCTGTGCCGTCGATGCCCATATCCCAGAAAGGATGGGCAGGCGCCTTTTCATTCTGACGCCCCTGCTGCACAAGAGCGGTAGCGTGATCATTGAGTGGCACCGCGTACTCGGCTGCAACCTCCATCCAGCGCACCGCCGGTTGCTCGATCACTACGCTGATGAACGAAGCGCAACGACACAGCACCATCTCCTCATCCCTATTGCTGTTTTCTTTTGCATTTGCTCTCTCATTTTCTTTGGGGGAGAGCGACAGCACCCACCGCACTAACCCTTTCCCACTCGTCGCCGATAATACTTCCCATTGGCATCCAGTTGCTGCTGCTGCGTCAACAATCCGTTCATTTCGCAGTGACGTCTCCACAACGTTTTCCATCCCCAGCGCCGTGCGCACATCTAGCGGTAACCGCCGATATCGTAGACTCGCTGGCGTCATCTCATCCCTGCTGCTAAACTCACGAATCCTTCTACTTGACAGATTGCAACGGTCCATGGCAATGCGAATCGCACGGGAAAGCTTCAGGCGTGCACCAGCCAGAGTGGAATAAATGTCCATCACCGTCATTGATGAAAGTTGCACAGCAGAATCAGCATCCGCTTCGAAAGCCGCTCGAAACAGAGAGGCACGAGGGGTGTCCACATACACAAGTAGGTGCAACTCATCAATAACATGGGTATCCCTCATACCATGCTCTGCCAAAATGCGCCGGGCCGCCCGGCGGTGCTCCCTACTAAGCTTATCAAGTTTTACGACGACGTAGTGACCGTCGCTGGCGGAAAACTGCCACTCACCCCCCTCGGCCGGCCCTGCCGTGTGCGTAATGGGTAAGTGCCTGCGGACCTGAAATGCTGTATTAGCAGTAGAAGCATGGAAAGATTTATTGTGCGCAGAGTGGCGCTGATGTATAAACCAGTCAAACGGCACCTCGTGCTTCTGCGTCCAATCCGCGTGGAGCCACTTCTGCAGGGGACTTCGCCCTGTCGGCGAGGACACAAATGCTGCCGCAACACCCCGCACCATACCGACTTCCCCATACATCTGCAGCGAAAACAGTAGTAGTAGTAGCAGAACTGTAATGACAGGAAGGAGAAACTTTCTCCGGCTCATCGCCCTCTTGCCTGTCCTTAATATTGGTATGGTTATATTCATAATATGTATGTATGTATATAGGATTTTTTATGCGTCAAGGACCCACTTTGAAATAATTTTGAGTGGCAGAAAGACAAGCACCTTTTTCTTTCACGGCACTTCGCGGATCGGTATTCAATCAAGGGGACGCTTCCTACCGAACAATAGGCAAGGAAATGGGGACATAAAACCACAACAACAGATATGACAACCACCTCAAAAACAATCCCAACCTTTAATAATGCCTCCCTATTGGCGTGGGCTTCCTCAGGGAACGAAAAAAATTATAACATGAGAAGAGGCATGAACAGCCCCAAACGCTTTCAGATTGGGTAAGACAACATCACTGGAGTGGATAAATGTGTGTCGAGGGAGGAGCATGGACAGGGTGCTTCCGATTTTCTTTTTAAAACATCAGTCCTTCCTGGTTTTCCTTTTTTTTGTTTATTGTGGCGTCTTCTATCGCTTCCTTTACCGTTTATTCGGCCTTTCTCTCATTTTCTCGAGCAACCCTGCACCCACACGATTCGTTATCATTGTCTGCCCTTGGTCCCCAAACAAACGCAAGCACACCGACACGCACACCCTCACACACGTAATCCTCCTCCTCCTCCTCCTCTGTAGCGACATTCTTCTTCTTAGCATCCGCATTGCCGTCACGCCCCCTTTGACCGTTGTACCGGTGAGTTTCCAGCCCCTGGCTGATTGCCGTCATCACGCAACAACTCACTCACCAGCCGCCGAAGCTGTCCATCACGGAAGCCCTCCGCACGTCCAACGATGCGGCCATCGCGGTACGTCACGAATGTGGGTACACTGCGTATATCGTGCAGTGCGCCCAACTTTGGGTTTTCGTCAGTGTCGATGGGGATGATTCGCACCGTTGTTCCGTCGCCCTGCGCGAGCAGACACACTTCACTGGCACTCTTCAGCGCCACCTCTGGATCGGCGTATGGCTCGGGAGCAGACGTCGCACTGCTCTGCGACGCCTTCGTTTTCGTGGTCTGCGGTAGTGGACAACCGGCAGAAGAACAAGAGAAACCTGCCTTTGCGCCCGCTTTTACCTCCACCTCTGGAGCTGCAGGTGTGGCTGATGCCTTTGGTGCTGGAGCGTCCATCCGGCGGCTGATATGTCCATCCGCCTCTAACGCCTCTAAACTGGCGGTGACGCGGTGGCAGGGCTTACACCACGGCGTGTAGAAGTACACCAGAACAGCCTTCTCACCGCTGACCTCGTCAATAAAGTCCTGTGTCCCTCCCTTGAAGGAGGTAATGGGGCACTGCACACTGAGAAGGGCCGCCGCACCCATCGGTTGAGAACGGGACTGCGCTGCAACAACACAGGCGACACTCCGCCGGGGCGCCAAGCAGCGACTCAGGTAGCCAAACGCATTTCGCATTTCTCCCGTACTCTAACAGACACGCAGCAGAGCTGGTCTCTATTATCAATAGCAACACCGTACGCGTATATAAAGCAATAAAATAAAAATAAATAAGAGGAGGAAGAAGTATTGAATGTAGAACAAGAATGCAGACGTGTACATGCAGACATTGTTATACATTGGCGGGTGTGCATAGACATTCTAAAGCAGTATACTTCCAACTCAAGTACCAGTTAGTCTCACACCTCGTCATGCTGCTGCGTCGTAAGGTGCCCCCACGAACGTCCTCAACACGTGCGTCCACTCCTCTTTCTCCGCATCTGTAAAGCCACTGTCGGTGTACAGTAGGTGCTGCCACATCCCCGCCACGCTCTCCCTCAGCTCCTCCATCTCAGCAGCGACGTCAGCCTCCGGCACGTCGACCAGCTCCGTGTCGAGCTGCCCCATATTAACGGTCAGCACGAGTAGCATGAGCATAGCATGACGGTGCCGCACCGACGCATCACCCCCAGCTTTAACACTCTCATCACCATCCGTACTCCCGTCATCACCATCTCCTCGCACGAGATCAGATATTCTTTCTAAAAAATCTTCGATGAGACCCTCTATGGGTGACAGATCTGCATAATCGTCGGTGTCCATGAACGGAATGCCTTCATGTGCCTCGTCGTAGTCGGGCGGTGGCGTCAGACTTTCACGGAACTCCTTTGCTGCCGCTGTCATCGCTGTTGTTATTGAGGAGGCAGCCTCAACTTTCTCTACCTCTGCCATCAGGCGACGCCACTGGAGGGCGTTGGCGATACTCACGCATTGCTCATTGGCGGCGTTGACCTCCTTCTGGAGGCACCGAAGCCGTTCTTGCAGCTCCTCAGACCTTGCCTTACACTCCTGCAGTCGCATCTCCTCGGCATGAATGGCCTCCTCCGTGATGTCCGCCTGTGTTAGCCCTGCCATGTTGAGGAACAAACTGTGCGGTTGTAAATATATGCTGAAGAGAGAGAAATAGAATCAGAGTGGTTGTGCACACAGTCTACACTCCCTCTCTGCTCTTCTCTTTTCTACTCTTCTCTTCTGGGAGAGCTCTTGTCGCACATACAGTAGGTAAGTGGAAGAATAGAAGGCAGAGTAGTAGTTTTTCTTTTTGGTTAAATAGAAAAGCTGATAAGAAGCACGGCGAACATAGATTGGGTCCCCCACCCCCTATCTGTGGGCAACGGTGCAAGTATAGACAGACACATCGTTTATGGTATTCTGACACTAGAGACTTGACAGCGGCAAAGCATTCTTGCCGACTTCTTGCGTGGGGAGCCACCATCGCTGTGTGTTTAAAGAGTCAACGCAACATGAGACACCTGTGACGCAGTGTTTTGTTCCTCAAACGCATCATTCCATCCCTTCCAAAAAGAAAAAAAAAAACAATAACAATAATCAATCACTTTCATACAAACCAATAAAAGACACCATGAGAACATGGATGCTACATAAAATCATCGGAGTTACAGACGTTTCTTCTTCTTGGCGTCCAAACTGTACATGTAGCGCCGCCTCGCTTTGGCGTACAACTCCGTATCATTTGGTGAGCTCTTCAACAAATCGAGCCCCTTTGGTATGAGAATCTTATTCCCCGCCTCATCCATGCAGATGAGCACAAAGGAGGCGCGATTCGATGTGACAAACTCGCCATCGCGCTCAACCCGCATATCAACATCCACTTCCATTGTCGTATTACGTACATACACCACCTTGGCTTCGAGTGTTGTGAAATCCGATGGGTAGAGTGGGCGGTCAAAGATCATGTCATGCATGCCGATGGTGTGGACGTGTGGGCAGCCAGTAAACACGCGGCCGCAGTGGCGTGCGTGCTCCTCCATCAAACAGAGAATGCGACCACCAAAGATAGAGCTGTTGTTGTTGAGATCACCGACGGTGTAAGTCCTATTTCCATGCGTCGTCGTATCTGAAATAGGCACCTTTATCGCCTTGTTATTATTCACGTCCTCCTCAATCAACTCAGTTAGCTCATCTCCCCCATTCAACGACCGTACCACCGACGCCTTTTGGATATCCCGCAGCATGCAGTACGTTTGGTTTCGCTCCTTGTCCACCGGTGATGTGAGCTGCAGCGCAGGCAGTATACCTTTCACCGGCTTGCCGAGCCGCTCCAGTGACACGCACACCATCGTCAGGTAGCACTCCCCAACGTTGAGGGGCGTTGTGCAGTCGTAGCCCTGCCGCGCCACATCGAGGTGCACACCCAATGAGCTGCTGCCGACGTGGACGACGCGGCCCTCCACGACCAAAAGGTCACCCGTGTACACGGGCCGGCGGAACATAAAAGCATTGAACGCGATGGTAGAAACCGTTAAGCCAGACATTGCGCTCAAGAACGTGCGTTCCCCGGCCTTGTAGCCAACGATGAAAGACACGGCAGTGCAACCTCCGCATCTATCAAGGAAGGACAGCACGCTGCCCGCTGAGGCTCTGCACCGTCTGCCATCATCAAACCCGCCAACGAAGTCACTTAGCGTCATCTTCACGGCCTCTCCGTCACGCACCACACCCGCCGCATTGCCGCCAACCACCAGAGGACCATCACTATGGTACCTACAGCTCGCAGGCCGCATCCACGCCGTTGATGCAGTACATGCGCGCAAGGCAAGACGGCGCATTACCCTCCTCGTTTCAGACCCTCCCTTTTTTTTTCTTTCGCTCTCTCCCTCTCTCTCTCTCTCTCTCTCTCTCTTGCTCGCCTCTTGTTCCCCTTCCTTATCTTATGGGGCAACCGGTGACGACGGGTGTGAGGAAGACCGAAGAAGAAAGAACAGCGGACGCTCCATCGCCGGTGCCACCACACAAAAACAAAAAAAACACACAACAGCGAATGGATCGACGAACCTTCTCATTCACCGCTACGGGTGGAAATAATCAACACGAAAAGGCACGAAGGAGTGCCAAGTTTCCCCTATTACCCATTATTCGCTTACAACAGCGGTGTATCGTGTATTCCTTCAGCCCAACGCAAAAATAAAATAGAATAAACATTGCAAACTATTAAGGATCATCTGGACTCGAGACGGCGTTGGCATCGTGCCTTCGCCTCTGAATAGCGGAGCGATTCCTCACGTGTGGCGGACCGCAGATCAAGACCCTTTGGAATAACGATTTTTTGACCAATCTCATCGGAGTTAAATAGCACAAAGGACGCGCGGTTCGTGATAACAACACGTCCCTCACGCTCAACAGTGAGCCTCACATCCACCTCCATTGTCGTGTTGTGGACATACACAACATCAGCCTCCAGCTTCACCCAGTCCGTCCCAAACACTGGCTGATGGAACGCCACGCTGTGCATGCCTACTGTATATATGTGGCGGTTGCCCGTGAACATGCGACCGCAATGCACCGCGTGTTTCTCCATCCAGCGCATCAACTCCCCACCAAATATAGTGCGGTTGTTGTTCAGGTGGTAGAGTAGGAAGATGCGGTGTGCCGCGGTGCGGGTGGATGAAATAGGAACAAGCGACAGTTTTGACTTGTTAATGTCGCACTCCAAATCCTCCAAGCAGACATCACACTCCTTCATAACGCGTGCTGCTTTCTCCTCCTCCTTGGCCCGCTGCCGTAAAAGCATGTAACGATTGTGAAGGCTAATGTCACCCTCATCTGTCAGCTCCACTGCAGGTACCACTTTCAGCGCGTGCAAGTCTTTACCGATTGCTACCATCGTGAAGTAACTCTCACCTGCTGGTGTCTCCTGCAGCGTCGATGGCGAACGCCGGAAGAATTCGATGTGAATGCCCAGAGAACTCGAGCCGCAGAACACTAGCCTCCCGTTCATTCGAATCGCGTCACCGTGCAGGACGGGGGACACAAAGCGCGTGTTCGTCACACCCACAGTACTGGCGCTGATGTTTTGCTTCAGTGGTGATAGAAAGATGTCCGCCACACGCTTTGCACACAGGTCCATCATTGCTAGTAGCTCACCAGCCACGAGACGGTTTACAATGGCAGAGTCAAAGCCGACAATGTCCTCCCAGTCGATATTGACTGTGGGACGAACTCCATTCTTGCTGTTGCCCACCACGAGGTGACGGCGGCTTACCGCCCACGGGCCACAGATAATTGAGGAAGCCCGCGAGGAGAGTGAAAAATGTCGCAGCATTTGTTATTGTAGGCGACGATTGATATCCTTGCTTGTGAGACTTTTGATGATGATGTTGGCGTTTTTTTTATTCGTCTTCATCGGGTCCAGAGACAAGAAGAAAAAGATTAGCAAACCGATAGAGAGAGAGAGAGAGAAAGCGAGATGCGACCAGACCTGGCGCAGAGAACGAGAAACCGAGGGACAACCAAGCAAAAGGAGATGGAGGAAATGCCTCAGCACAGCTAAGCGAGGCTGCGGTAAGGTGCTAGTAATGCAAGAGAGAGTGCATACCTGACATCCTCTACAAGATGTCGAAGAATATTGATATGTACATTGGTTCCATCAACAAGTTTTTTTTTCAAAAAGATGCCTTTAAGCTAGTGGAATAAAAAAAGAACAAACACAGAAAAGCAGAAGCATAAAATCCAATAATTATGAGGCACGCTGCCCTAGTTAGTTCTTTTTGTTTTCTTCTACTGTCATCGTCCCTTTCCTTCGCTGTTTCTCCTCCAGCGTTAGATTATGCAATTTCTCCACTGTACACCGTCGCTCCGCACGGAGAGAATGCAGGAGGTCGGATCTCACCGCCTCCGTCGACGGCGGCTCGCCGCACCCCTCCGCCGCCGGCGCCGACACCATGAAGCCCAGTTGCCAGATCCGTTCGTTGAGTTGTCGCAGCTCCTCCGTCAGAAGGTGGATCTCATCTTCCTTGGCGCTACGAATGGCAGACGCGCGCGTCATCAATTCTTCTCTTCCCCCTACGCCACGCAACGTCGGCGCAGTACACGCCTTTCCTTTGTCCTCAGAAGCCCGAGGTGAAGTCAGCAACTTATTAATACCTTTCTGGAATTTTTGCAAAAGCCCACTCGGCCCAAAGTTGCTGTTGCTGTTGCTGTTGCTGTTGCTGTTACTATTACTGTTACTCCGCTCAGAGGTGCTATCGCACCCTCTCGACTTGCTTGACGAACTGGACCCTTCCCTGCGCCGCAGGACACACAAGGGGGACGAGTATTTCACTACCAAGGCTGCTGTTCGTGCATCTTCGGCACCGGCAACTACGGATAATGAGCCTGCTTCTGATGACTTTCGCTGGGCCCCATGTGACAATGTTGGAGAAGACGATATGCCACCAAGCTTTGAAGAGAAAATGGAAGTACTCGCATCAGCGTAGTGAGATCTTGCACCTTTAACGTTTCGCTGCAAAATACCATCGGCAGAGGACCTTTTTGGCAGCGAATGCCGAATCACTACCGAGTGGTGCCTCGAGTTCCGTTGATTTTGTTGTTGTTGACGCTCTTTCAGTGCCGCCTCAGACAAAGTGTTGGGGAACTCATTCTCGGGAGTAAATACGTCGGTATTAGCGGATTGCACAGTCCGAAGCACCCCTTCCACGTAGGAACGCACTGATCTGTCGCCGGTTCTGGTAGTGTACACGCCCTCGCCGTGCAGAACATTTCGTTTCCACGTACATTCAAGCACATTTCCTTCGACAAAAGTGTATTTCCCTTGTCCATGGCGCAGCGGCATTGGACCACCACCGTCGACGAATTCACCTTCATATTTGTCTCCATTGGGATACACCATGCTACCGGTGCCGCAGACCACGCCGTTATTAAACTTCCCTACGAATATTCCACTCTTTGGCATCCTGACTTCCACATCCCCGTCCACTTTCCCATCGACAAATCCACCTGTCATCACAGTGCCGTCTTCCAGCGTGAGTTTGCCATTCCCGGTCATTTCCCCCATTGTGAACTCACCCTCGTACTCCATGCATTCCCGTTCCAGGGAAAGTTTTCCCTGTCCGTGGCGCTTACCATCCTTAAACTCTCCTTTGTACTGATAACTGTGTGGCGCACTCTCCACTCCACGTCCCTCTTTCTTCCCTTTCTCCCACCCACCTGTGTAGGTGGTGCCGTCACTCAGCTTTAACGTCCCTTCCCCCTCCAGGTGCCCCTTCTTCCATGCGCCCTCGTATGTTTCTTTCCCTCTTCCGGTATCCCAGCACATCGTGCCGTGGCCGTCAGGATACCCGAGGGCGAAGTCACCTTCGTATTGTGCATCCGGCGCCACAAAGAGACCGATGCCATGCGGCAATCCAGCCTGTACGGCGCCTTGATAGCTCGTTCCATTTTCCCACCGCCACTCCCCGTCACCGTTGGGCAATCCACCTACCCACATACCAGAGTACCGGCCAGAGACACTCAGTGATGGAATGAACCCGCGCACTTCCAAGGAAAGGGGTGGTGATGGTGCAGGCTGTGGAGCTGGCGCAACGATGGTAAACACACCCTCACCTTGTCCTTTCGGTACACCACCCACGAATTCCCCGGTGTACCGAAGTGTGATATCACCAATACCTGAAATGGTCATTCGCTTGTTGTCCAAAACACCTTTGCCATTTGGTTTACCAGAGGAAACCTCGCCAGTGTATGAGCTTCCGTCACGGAACTTCGCTACCGCACCTGTGCCAATCATTTCACCGCCTACACAAGGACCCTCGTAATATACAAAGCCCGTTTCCAAGGAAGCAGAAGTGTTGGCTTTAAAAGTAACATGCCCTTCTAGGAGGTTATTGCGCCATTCCCCGTCGTATTCACCGATCCTATTTCGAAGAACCCCTTTACCATGGCGAAGATCACGTTGGAAGGAACCCTTGTATACGTCACCTTTTTCTGTATGGTGCTCACCTTCTCCATGGCGCCAGTAACCGTCACACCCTCCCTTGTAGGCGGTGCCGTCAGAATATGTGAATTCTCCTAATCCCTTTGGTGTATCATTCTGGAACTCACCCTTGTAGGCGATCACATGAGCCTCACCCATTCGCGGGTTATACCCAGGTGTACTAGATGTCCTATCAAGCTGCAGTTCGCCGTATCCGTGGCGTTCATCGTGTAGCCAAGATCCTTTATATAAGTCACCATTTGCGTACTTGCATACCCCGTCCACACCACTCCGTTCACCCTCTACAAAGGGTCCAGTATATTCTGCGTAATCGTCGACACCTGAGGCCCCAACGAGGCACCCATTTCCATGCATCTTGTCCCCAAACCACTCTCCCTCATATCGCCTGCCGTTAGAGAAGATGCAGGTGCCACGACCACAACGTTCCCCTTTTACAAAATCACCTTCGTATGTATATCCCGTGTCGCCCGGAATAGCATACCTGCCTTTTCCATGTGGCTTATCCTTCATCCACGTCCCAACATAAGTGGCACCGCTTGCAGCCCAAGAGAACTCTCCGTGGCCATCTTTGATATTTTCCCCGATCGCCTCACCATTGTACCGATCGCCGTTCGGGAAGTTCTTCGTCCAGACGTATCGTCTGTTCTGCATTATGCAGCGGTAGGTGATGCTTGTTTTCTTCGCTTTTCTGGGTCAATAGACAGCCAGCCGTGCACAAACTATGCGGTAGCGAAGCGGTAAAAAAAATAATAGTAATAATAATAAAGTGGAAAATCAGTAGGAACAGAACAAGAATGCTGGCAATACACTCAAATAACAGCCTACGCCTCACCTTTTCTTTGAAACCAGAAGTGAAAAAAAAGGGAAAATGGGAAACATGTTTTAGTTTTTTTAAAAGATTTTATCGAACCATACGTCTTGGATATTTAGATCGGCTCCAAAATCGATAATCTCACAAGACCTCTCGACCCCAACAAACCAAAACAAACCAAAACAAACACTAACGACAGGAGGGTGCTGAAACCGCACCTTTTTAGCCCGTTCCCTGCGCGGAGCAGAGAGGGTTAGGCTGTGCAGACTTTCAAACCTTCCGCTATGCGCCAACCTTTGCATAGATATCCAAGAGATAAAAAAAAACGACAATTGTTTACACAAAACAAAACAGAAAGGCTAGACCATTACTTTCAAAAGCTCCCAATAATGAAAAAAACAAGTACTTGGAATCCAATGCCACCCCGTTCATTCCCGTCCACGCTGGTGGGACACCAACCTCAAATCCCACAGCACAAAAATATAAATAAATGATATATATATATATATATATATATATATGTGTGTGTGTGTGTGCATGTGAAAACAGTAAAGAGTCATAGCTCCTCTGTGAGAATAATGTCCCACGCCCGCTGTAAGAGGAGCACAGGTACAGAAAACTGTAGTGCAAATTGCAACGCATACGAGGCCACTTCTTTTTGCGACGATCCGTTGGCATTGTTGATACGCTGCGCAGGTGTCACACGATAGGAGTGCACAAGTTGCTGGTCAACGACCATGAATTCATCATACCCAACCCTCCTATTCACCATGTCGCGTCCAACACGCCTGGCCTCCGTGAGTGTTGTCAACATTTCAAGCATCTGGATCTCATCTCTTGGAACAAGCTGAGGATGCACAGCCTCCGCGTAATGTGTTGCCAGGAGTACTATGGGACGTTGGTCACCAAGCATAATAATCGTGCGTATAGCAGCCGTCAACAGTGCGGCACCATCCATCGAAAGCGTCCCCTTCCCAAACTCATCCACCACCAGAAGCGAGCGGCCAGCACCAGCACCACCCACTCTGCCACGGACGCTGCAGCGCTGCAGCATCCGACTCATCGACACCAGCTCGCCCCCAAAACTCGAATGTAGCTCTTTTGCCGTGGAAGCCATATCTCTGTTGTGGCCGGCGGCAGAAGCAGCTTGAAGCGCCATCAAGGTGTCCATGAGCCCAATGGTGGCATGGGCGCAGGGAACGTAAGAGCCGATGTGAGCCAAAAATACCGTATGCACGACAGCTGTGATGAAGAAAGACTTTCCACTTCCGTTCGCTCCAGTCACTACGCAGACTCGATCAGAGCTGTTACGTACCACCAAAGAATATGGCACTACTTGTTGTGATGTTGTCCGTGTGAAAATAGGGTGGACGCCTCTGTCAATCTCAAGTACACCGACCTCCTCCACAATCTGTGGGCGACTCCATTGTCCCTCCAACGCACACAGGGCAAACCCTATAAGACAATCAAGCTCCGCACAATAATGCAGGGGAATAAGCGCCGACGAAAGCTCCAATAAGCGTCGATCCAATTTCCGCTGAACTTCGCCTTCCCGCTCCAACACGGCCGATCGCAAATCCCCCAATTCCTCGTCCATCCTACGCGTCAAGGGTGTCTTAAAGAAAGGGCCATCCTCGGTATGGAGTAGCAGTTCCCAATCAGTCGGCAACCCATCCATCGCAATTGACGGTGGCCACTGAGGGATAGTGATGACATAGCCCCACTGTGGAACGAACACGCACACCACAGCGCATGGTCCCCATAGCGGTGGTAAGCACCGGCTCTCTTCCTGTGCAACGCCTGTGAGCACCTCGTCAAGGCGAGCAGCATGTGATCGCAGTTCGTCCAGAGTTGCGTCATACCCGGGACGGATTTGTACGTACGTCCGATTGAGTGTCTCGTCGGGATCCCGCACCAAGGCAATGCCGTCTTCAAGACGTTTGCTCATTTCCCCCAACAGGGCAGTCTGGCAGCTCGCCACTATACGAAGAAACGTCGGCAATATGTGCGCCTGTGGTGAAAGAAGCGATGTAATTTTCAAGAAGCCTTTAACACAACGCAGAAGAGACCCATAATCACTCGTTGTGTGCTTTGCCGCTCTCATCTTTGTGAAAATGCTACCAGGGTAGCGTAGGTGCCGCAGAGAGCGACGCAGTTGCAACATGAGCTCATGGTTCTCCTGGCGCACAAAAAAGGAAACAACATCATATCGCCGGTGCAGCTCCGCCTCGTCACACAGGGGAAGAGCAAACCACTGTCGAAGGAGCGCACGCCCCAGGATGCTACAGGTACGATCCACCACACTCAACAGCGAAAGCCCCTCCTTTGACCGTCCGATGCCTTGATAATCCATCGGGTGCGGCTCCGTCCGAAGGAGCTGCAGGCCCAACAGCGTGTCCTGATCAACGTACAGCAGCCCGAGGGGTGACGACTCGACAATGTCACCTATGGGGCAGTCACAACGCTGTAGGTACGGCAACAACGCCGATAAAGCCATAAGCATGACATGTTTCTCTGGGCAAATACGTGAGTGCCACTCCAACCTTGTCACATCCGCCCACAACAGGCCGAGAATGTCCCATATGCGCCCCTCATCAAACTCGCAAGGTGCCGTAAGGACCACATCTACACCGCACAAATAGGCGATATCAAGCAGCACCTGCGAGTCGGCAGATGGTATTAGGACAGCCCGCGGTCTCTTTACTGAAAGGAACTGCGCGACCCACAGAATATCTCCAGGAACATCCATTAAACTTCTTATAGGTACCTCGTTCAACCCTTCCAACGTCACCGCAACATCAGAGCAACTCACTTGGCAAGTCCCGCTGTTATAAGCAGCCATCCCTACGCGGTGGCGCCACAATAGCACACTAACAACATCGGCCATAGTAGATTGTTCATCGTAATCATCACAATCCCCTTCCATCGCTATAACAACAACGCCAAACATGCAGAAAGACAAATAAGAAACTTTATCAATTCAAAACACAGAACGCACGCACCAAACGAAGCGGCCACCTACAACCAAACGGTAATCAAAAAAAAACAAGCATAAGCTAAAAAAAACTTCAAAAAACATCCCAAAAACACACTAACATTAAACCTTTGCATTCTTCGAGTATTCCAATCCATACATCAATACATAAGACTGCGCATAAAACACGCACAGAAAAAAAGACTCACAAAACGCCACCAGCCCGCGCCCACAGCTGAAGCAAAGTTTAAAACAACACACACTCACTCCAGGCGAGCGGGGGCAGTGTTGTGGCTGATGCGGGGCTGTTCGCTGCCGTCGCCGCCGGTGCGCAGCAGCCGCGCCCGCTTGATTTCCTCCCTCTCTGCAGCGATCTTCACCTCCTCCTGCTTCGTCAGGTGAGAGCGGTACTCCACCATCTTGCTGCGCCGCGTTAGCACTTCCTCGTTGTTCTCGTCCACCGGGTGGTTGAACTCGATACCGGCAGCATCCAGCGCCTCCTCCGACTCCTTGAACTCCTCCAGTGCCTTTGCCTGCTTTTCCTTCAGCATGGCCAGCTCCTCCTCCACACCCTGTCGCAGCTTGTATAGCTCCTTCTTCATGTCTGCATGCTTCTTCGCGTTCGGATCGAACGTCTCCACGCAGAACTCCAGCTGGATGTGTGTTGTGCGGATGTTGCGGTCGATCTCCTCTAGTCGCTTCTCCTTCTTGTATATCAATGAGCCCAGCGTGAGGTACAGCATGCGGAAGTACTCCAGGTGCTCCTTGTGCACCTCCAGCCGCAGCGCAGCCAGGTCCTGGCTTGTCTTGTCGTGGCGCGCCTTCACGGCGGCGCAGCCCTCTGACACCATCTCCTCCACCAGCCCAGTGCAGCGGATCGCCAGGTCGCAGTTGTACACCGTCAGCTCCAGAAGCTTCTTGTGCTGCGAAGCGACCTCGAGGAACTGCGAGTACTCCACACGCCGTTTCTCCTCGCGGTCAATCTCCTCAATGCGGCGCTTCACCTCTTCGAAGCGCTCCGTTCCGAACTTTTGTAACTGTCGCTCCAGGTCCTGGATCTTGTTCCACGCTTCCTCCTGCTTCTCCTCATTCTCACGGATGAAGTGGTCGCTCTTCTCCTTGTTTGACGCGTGGCGCTTCGTCGCCTCGGCATCCTCGAGGTCTGCCTTCTGGATTGCGTCATGGATGTGCTTCAGGTCTGTCTCACACCGCTGCTTCAGGCGACGCTTTGCGTCCTTCATTTGGCTTGTCTCTTGGTTGGCCTGCTTCTGCACCTCGTAGATCTTCTTGAACGCCTGATTCTCTTCATCGCACTTGGTGATCAGCCGGAACTTGTCCTGGATCAAGTCAATCAGTCGCTCCTGCAGCTGCACCTTCGTCCACATTTGCTCTTCGGCCACCTGCATCTCGCCGTCGTGCATCGCAACGTTCTGGATCTCGTTCGTCTTCTCCAGCTGTGCCAGCTGTGTCTTGATCTGGTCGTCTGTGGACGCGAGCGCGTTTTGGATCTGCGTCACGTTCATGATGTCCTCGATCTGCTTCAGCGTGCGGGTCGGGACCTGCGCCAGCTGCGTCGCGTCCAGCTGCGACCGGCGCAGCTCCTCCTCCACCTTCTCCATCTTCGCAATGGCGTTGTCGATCATCTGAGTGAAGCTCACCACACGGGTCTTGTTGCGGTTCTGCTTCAGGTCCTGCAGCACCTTCTTGACGCCGATGATGTCCATGAACTGCGCCTTGTCCTCCGGACGGTACAGTTCGCGCTGGCTCATCTCCAGACCACACACACGCATCAGCTTCGCCAAGTCGTACGCCTCCGTCAGGTTCCACTTCGTCCCGACGTCAACAGCAGCGACCAGCTCCTCTGCCTTGAGGTGCGCGCCGCGCAGTTTCTGCCGCTGCGTCTCCGACCAGTCGGACACGTGCAGCTCCTGCACCAGCTCCTCATTCTCCAGGCACGCGGTCTTCAGCTTCAAGTTGTGGATCTTCTGCTTGCGAGCTGCCTCAAGCCCAGTGGCGTCTTCGGCAGACATGGCGGTGTGAGGGTGTGTATTACTTTGTTCAGTGAAGTAATCTTTTAGTTTGTGAGAGAGAAGGGAAAGAACAGCTTGACTTTGTTCAGCAGCATGTATCATTTTCATGTATGTTTTCTATTGTCTTCGTTAATTTTAGTGGCCCTAGTTGGCTTGGTCTTATGTGGCAAGGGTGTGTTGGGCTAAAGGGATTTATCTGTATAAACAGCCCAGTTGCCGCCACTTTTTGAATAGTGATCCATTGGGTACGACGGTCCGCCCCACTCAATGCGGCCGAGAGCCACTTCCACCTCGTAAGGCGATAGCAACGGTCTGTCAAAGGCGTAGCCCCAATCGATTGAGAGGCGCGGGCAGGCGACTTGAACATAACAATCGACATCCTGCAGTTTCGCCAGCTTTTGTGGGAAGATTTCCGACATGAGCAGGAGTGTCACCGTTTTGCCCTGACGCTCCGCCATTTGTATGATGCGGTCCACCACCCGCGGGTTGCCTTGACGACCAAGCGTTCCCATGATAAGTGCAAAGCTTCTGGCCGTCATCCCCTTCTCAACCGCTTCACGCCGAAGCGTACGCATCTCAGTCGTGTTGTAGCTTTCCTTCGACAACGTTTTCTTATACGGGTCATACTGCAGGGCATCCAGCGTAGGGTGTGCAATCAGGAATGACTCTAGATGAAATCGTCCATCACCCACGTACAAAACAACATCGACGGTTGTGGGATCCACAACAGGGCTTGTGCAACCAAGTATCTCTCCACTCGAGAGTGGCCTATTTTGCGGAATCACAACCGGATTTTGGAAGTGGTCTTTAAGCAGAAGCATTGCTGCCCGCATCGAAGAGACAAACTGAATGGTGGCGATGCACGCCAATCTTGTCGCGGGAGGCACCAGGCGCTTAACGGTGTCCACGAAGTGCTGCACGTCAAAGTTTATCTCCACAAAAACGTACATCATGTTATTGATGAGGCAATCCTTTATGGAAATGAGACAGCTGTGCCCATAGTGAATCAAGAAGTCGCAACCAAGGGCAGTCGCTGAAAAGTCATCCACACAGCATGCGCCGTACGTGACATCGCCAAGAATTACCATCTCCGCACCTGTTCTCTCTTCGAGGATGTCTGCAATTGGAGCGGCAAACATGAGTAGCCCCTCCGGGAACTGAAGTGCAACACGTGTGGCATTCTTTTCCTTGATACGCCTCACACACTTATCGATCTCAAACCTATAGTTACTAGGGAGCCCCAACTCGGCCTCCTCAGGCAAGCTCATACCTGCCCTGGTGAGGCATTGGAGAAGGATGAAAGACGAAGGGCATGTGTGAGAGAAGCACAACAGGATTTATTCCTCGTCGTCATACACTCGCTTAGGGTCGGAACGGCAATACAACATGGAACATTTATACCGCAATCAGAATTTGTCTCTTTGACGTGAAACAGAAAAGAAACAAAAGAAAGGAGGGACAAAACTTAACAACTGGACGCATACCCATGCGCCTCCAACTGCTCATATATCAACATGGGTCCCGTGAACGTTTACGCGCATGCATCGCCCCCTGCAAGACGTAATGGTCAGGCTCTGGCGTCTCCACACACAAGCAGTGGGCGACGTACTCCATCTTCAAGACGGGCACGTGTACAGAAACAGTTTCCAGCTGCATCGCGCCCCATAAGTTGTCGTCAGAAAGAACGATTGTAGAGTCATGCAATACACCTCTATCCGTTGTCAGTATGTCCAGCAGCTGCGACGGGGAATAGGGACGGATAACACTGCAGTTACCACACCTAAGGACGCGAGAGAAACTTTCGGTCCGTGCATCCGTAGCGCAGCACAAAATGACGCTCCAAGAGGAGAACGGCCGCACGGTCCGCCTCCTCTGGAGTTGGCACGCTCTAACAAGATCCACCACGGAGTTTCGCAGCATCGCCGCCTTAGCAATTTCTGGGCGCCACTCATGCGACTCCTCGCGGGCGATACAACCCGTGCGCAGTGTCTCTTCAAGGAAGGAGGGAGCAAGCACCCACTTTCCTGCCGCAACGGTACAAAGGAAAAACTCCGTCCTGGAGGGCCTCCCCGTAACGTAGTGTGTACACTCCTCCACCGACGTGGCGAGAGTGCAGCCGAGCGCCTGCAGGCGGGTGAAGTTCTCATCCATGTAGAGTAGCGCCTTCGTCATCATAATACAACACACACGACCAGAAGGTTCTGGTTGTTCTTTGTCTCTCTCAGACGCGGCGGCACCAGCAACGTCTCCCACCGAGCCATGACCATAACCATCGGTCCCCTCCGCACTCAACAACACATGCTGCTTCTGGAAGTAGTGGCGGTGGTGGTGCCGTGAGGGCGCCACCGCCTTTGGTGGGTACTCATAGTCATCCCTTCCGTAGACAATAACTTGGGACTCGACCTGCTGCTGCTTCTGATTCTCCTGTAAACGGCATCCTCCACTACACGCCGCTGCCACTGAGACGCTCGAGTTGGCCCCAGCACCCAATGAGCATTCTGTCTTCCCGCTGGGATTTGCCACAACAGCCAATGGCACCCACGAGTGCCCCATGCTCGGCGTCGTTAGCGCACTTCCGAGAGCGTTCGTCCGTGACTCCAACTCCTGAATGAGCTTCTCCAGGGACTTCGAATGTGGTGAGTCGTCCCGCATTCCCTTTTCCGATAAACAAGGCTGTGACGCCCCCTCGTGTTCCTCTTCCAGACGATTGGCAGCTCTCGCCGCATCTTCGGATACCTGACATGACGAGAGCTTCGCAAACGCAGAGAGTTGTGGTACTTCAAGAGTGAAACTGGAGCAGTCCACCCACCGCCCCGTTTGGAGAGAGCAGCACACCCACTCCATACTTACCAGGAAACACTCTTTCCGCCCCAACTTGTGCATCCGCCAGCCGAGGGCGGCAACCTTGGACGATTTGGCCAACGCAGCTTGACCAACCACAAGATGAGTGGTGATGTATCGTCCAATGGATTCATCAACAGTACCGCCCAATACAAAATTATCTTGCACAAAGCAAGGTAGTCCTGAACTCTCTAGCGAAGCCCGGAGCGACGCTCTTTCCTTGTGTGGCACACCAGTAAACGTGATTATAGGCCGCTGAGCGTCACTCACTCGGTACGGCTCCGCATCCACGTGCTCTTGCTTCGTCGCGCAACGCTCTAACCACGCGCGCGACACGAACTCTAACCCCGGCCGAGGATAAAAAACCTCTGTCGTTGGCCCCAACAGTAGCACATGTGTTGTGAGAAATGTTAACATCGGCGCGTGCTTCATGACGGCTTGGTGAAGTAATGAAATGACCGTCTCTGTGACAAGGCTTCTAGGAGAGCAATACACTATAACGTCCGATGTGCTCTGCAAAGAGGCCTGACGGGGTGCAACAGCCAACGGCCCACAACGCGCCTTCACAGCATGGTTGTACTGCTTCATGAATTGACAGTATGGTATAGCATCAATGTGATTGCTGCGAGCGAATTCTAGTTTCTCGTTCCCCTTCAAACCGGGTGATACATCCGGCATTACAAGCAGCGCACTGTTTCGTGTTAACGAGGGGTTATATTTGGCCTGGTGTGTCTCACACACACGCCTGACACAATTCCGTTCCTGAGCAGTCAAGGAGGTACTACACACCTCCAATCCCATGAGAGATCGCCCAAGCTCAAAGTCACATAGTTTCCCCATGCAGCAGTGCCCCAGCAGTACCCATGCCGGGGTTACGCATGGAATCCCTCGCTGCTGAGCCACCCGGTACTTGGGCCCTGCGTTTCTCCTAGCGACCAGCACTGAGGTAGAGGTGGAAAGTTCCGCCGCGTACGCCATGCCATGCCGCTGGAGGCCAGCCCTAATAAGTTCAAGTTCAGTTCCGTGTATAGCCGTTGTTGTCACAGCCATTCCTCTCTTATGAGGCAGCGTCACCCGCCCGACAGTACACTTACCACGGTCTAAATAAACAATAAAAGAAAAGCAGGCAGAACAGAGAGGCAATCCCTAGCAGTGGCAAAAGTACAACAACACACGTTCGTGTGAAACAAAAGGCGAAAAAGGGGCATTCTCACGAAAGCAAAAGAAGAACATGTAGCTGCAAAACGACAAGCACCATTTAGTAGAAAAATCCAAGAACCTTCCCACCAGTATTGCGAGAACGCGCCTCCTCGTGATCCATGATGCCAAGTGATGTCGTCAGGACAACGAATCCGAACTGACGGCTGGGAAGGATGTTCTTCACCCACTTCTCGAAGTCGCGCGCAGTGCAGTCGAAGCGGGGGCAGATGGCGCCGCACTTGTTCAGGCGGCCGTTGAGGTTCACTACAATCTTACCGGCACGGTGGTCATCAATGATCTCAAACTCACCGATGTAGCCATGCTTCTGCATCACCTGCAGGAACTTCACGACGACCTTCGACGAGGGGCGGATGAGGACTTGGCGCTTGCCACGGCGCTCCGCGCTCGCAATACTGCGGAGCGCGTTCGCCAGAACGCTCATCATCGTCATTTTGTCGGGGCCACTTCACAAAAAGAAATTCAATTTAGAAAGAGGTGTGAATCGAGCACACAGAGAAAAGAAGAAACAGACATCTCCAGGTTCAATACCAAACAAAAAAAAATCGGAAAGAAACCCCCCTACATTTCGGTTCTAGCGTAAAACTTCACCGAACGAGCACAATGTATCGTAGCGCTCGATGCGCCGGCGTGCAGCAACGCGAAGAAGCTGCGCCGCCTCGTCAAAACGAAGAATGACGTTGCCCTCTTGCGCAGTACCGCACCGGAACAGCGCAGCGCCCAAGAAGACACACCCATCACCGAAAACAAACTCCATCCATGGCCCCCCGGCCGCTTCTGCAGCACCAGCATCCAACAAGAGGCAGCACCAACGCAAAATATCCGCAGATACCGAATCAGAAGTAGGAATGACTTGATCCAAAGCAGCCAATTTTATGCAAAGCTTTTGCAGCGCCACAACGCCATCATAAGGAAGAAACGAGGGCACCGACCCACGGGCCTCGTAGTACGCCGCCTCCTTTGCCAGAACCTCACGTGGGACACCGCTTCTCGCCCACAATCGCAGCACCTCAAGCACATTGGCGCTTGGAAGTCGTACTGCCTCCAGGGCACACAGCTCCTCGCCCTCTGCAAAGCTTTCGGTGCAAATCCACCGATCGCACGCCAACATCACTCCCTCAGCTGATTGAATACGTTTTCCAAGAAGCATCCACCCTTCATTCACACCAAACCGTTCCACACAGTCCCTCACAACGTGCCCCGCCGCCTCCCGAGCGCCTAACAAACACAGCGCAGAGGCCTTTCGATAATACGCCTTCACGTTCGTTGGGTCCAGTGTAATTGCTTGTTCTGCATCTGCCAAGGCAGCGTCACCCCTTCCAAGTTGAATCATTGCTGCTGCCCTGTTCGACCACAGAGCGCTCTTCGATGGTTCACGGCGTAATGCCTCTCTGTAACAGTGTGCAGCCTTCCGTGCATCGCCACACCGCATCGATTCATTACCGCGCGTTCTCCAATCCACTTTGTCCTCCACACTCTTCGCAGCGTCACCAGACTGCCCCACTTTCGTCAGAACAGGAGACGCAGGCTGCAACAACAAGCCTCCAACCCCACTTTGAGAGGTCGTTTTCATCCACTTATTAAACCGCTCCAGTTCCTTTGGGAGCGCATCACGGCCTACTCGATAAACCTCACGGATTAGTTCCTCCGTCTCGGCACGCGGGCGGAAAACACCACTATGAGGATCAACGTCCAGACCAGTTGAGACATCCACATAAACTTCCTGACTAACAATATCTCCATCCACTGGCACTGTCACCATCGTCTTCTCCACATCGCTCAGCATTGCATCACTATTCTTTCCCAAGAGAGAAAAAACATTTAGCACCTTCAGCACCTCAGTACAAAACAGCACAGCCTTCCAGCAAAGCATCCCCCACAGAAGCCTTTAAAAAGCGCCTAATCATAAGGATAAGACAAGTCGGCAAGATCAAAAATAGTCCTCACGGACCCAACGCCCCACACATTGTCCAAAGGCCTTGTTGCCCCAGCAGAGACAGAAACAGATACCTTTGCACCTGGCGTCACCGCAGTATCCAAAGGCCTTGGCACTCCAGCAGAAGAAGAAACAGATACCTTTGCACCTGGCGTCACCGCAGTATCCAAAGGCTTTGGTACTCCAGCAGAAGCAGAAACAGACCCCTTTGCACCTGGCGTCACCGCAGTATCCAAAGGCTTTGGTACTCTAACAGAAGCCGGAACAGACCCCTTTGCACCTGGCGTCACCGCAGTATCCAAAGGCTTTGGTACTCCAGCAGAAGCAGAAACAGACCCCTTTGCACCTGGCGTCACCGCAGTATCCAAAGGCTTTGGTACTCCAGCAGAAGCAGAAACAGACCCCTTTGCACCTGGCGTCACCGCAGTATCCAAAGGCTTTGGTACTCCAGCAGAAGCCGGAACAGACCCCTTTGCACATGGCGTCACCGCAGTGTCCAAAGGCTTTGGTACTCCAGCAGAAATAGGAGTGGTGGCAGAAGCACAACCCTTCTGCATAACTGGTGCCTGTACGCTCCTTATAGGCTGTGATGCAGGGATGGTAAAGGACATTTGGTCCCTTGCATGCGTGGTATTCAGGGCTTTTGGAACGGTGTGTTTGAGTACATGATGGTAGTAATGTGACAACGCGATGACACGACCTTGTAAACAAAACACAGAACGACTCCAGGTTGAATCAAGATAGGGCATGAAAATATCGTTTACACTTTTTGAAGAACTGGTAACATTGACAGAAAGAGAGTGTAGGTTCACGCTCTCTTTGAGTGGTGACAAAGGAAATCCGAGAATATCTGATACTGTAGCGACAACATCCAAGATTTCGGCACATTGTTTAACCGTTGTACGAACGAACTGGAACGCATCGCCCCCATTTGCTGTAACACCAGCTGCAAGTGACAGTTGAAATGTTTTTTCTGCATTTTCCAAGTAAGACCACATCTGCTGTATGGCATCAAGCAGCTGGGAATGTTCCATATTTTTTTATCAGGTACCTTGTTTTTCCCTTCTGCAGCAGTCACTGCAGCTTCTCGAAGTTGCCAAGGAAACTTATTCCAATTGACTTTGGGGGATCAGAATTTTTTTGTGCATCTACATGAGAAATCAGTAGTAGGAAGAACAGAAGTTACATGGTTTGGATGCCTTTTCAACTTTTCGCACTGATTATTGAAAGCCTCCCATCCCATCAATATTTATTTGATGTCGTCGTCTCTCTTGACTTTAGCTGTTCTGAAATCGATATGGGTCAGAAAGGAACAGAATCGGACAATTTCACAGAAACTCTCCATTCTTTCTCCGAGCTGTCGAACCCACTCAATTGGGTGTTCCCAATTCATAATGATTTCTCCATCAAATCAGCATTCCACTTGCGAAAGTGGCAAGTTCAGAATCTCACACCTTGCAGAGACTCCGCCGCTTGGCGGGAATGGTAAGAGATGGGACAGTAATGTTTAACTTTCTTCTGGACCCTACTCGAAAGCCTCTGATTAGACAGAACAACCAATGGGAGACACTTGTTTATCCCATCAATTGGTCAGACAACTATTTGGATACACACTCCTTCAACAGGGTCCCAAAAAAGTAAAAGGACTCACCAAGAAGAATAGACCAAAATGGACAACGGAGCTGCCACTAGAATAAAAAAAGAAGACAAGATTACAGCATGCATGATGCGCTTCCAAGGAAGAGAAGTGCATCATGATCGGTGCTCGACGTCACCCACAAATCCAAGCCACTTTCCTTCAGAAGTTTCAAAAAGGAGGCAGTGTTACCCTTGGTGATACACCCGTATTCAGTAGTAGAAGATGAGGCTGAATCACGGTTTTCAGTCTGCAACACGTATCCAGTAAACAAATTCCGCACTGCGCTACCCAAGCCACCGAATCGTGACTGACCAGAAACATCCGATTTGGCTAATCCCAATACCCTTTGGTTGCACTTCAGTTCATGTTCTTGGAACAATCTGCTGTATACCCGACCACGCATGACGTACTCATTCACAAGTTGCTCAAGGCGAAATTGAAGCACCTTACATGTATGCACGGTGACGTTAGCAGAGCGTTGCGAACGGAACAAATCGGTGATCCGTGACACTATTTGTGGAGGCAATGTATTTTTTATCTTTGACGACCGATTATTTTTAGCAACAGCGCGTGGATGCGACAGCTCATCACACTTGTTAACGGAAAGTATACAGCCTCTGCAACTGGTGTTTACACACACAATATCTGACTCTAGAAATTCATCTTCAAGTATGTGTGCATTGTCGACTTGATATCTCTCGCAGAGACGCTGATTAAAACTAACAATTCTGCTTTCATATGGCATAACATACTCTTCCGCAAAAATCGTGACGCGCCTCAAAGGTCTTGGTAGTACTTGTGACAAGGAAAGTGCCAGATTAGCGCAATGGAGACTATCCTCCCCATAAATCAGAATTTGGTTTCCACTGAAAAGTGCAAGAAGAAGCCGCTCAGTTTCTTGTAATCCAGTAGCCGAGTTCTGAACAAACTGGAGAAGCCACACAGAAAGAGGTTTTACTATTGGAGGTCGACCAGCTGTAAGTAACTTTCCGTTACCCACTGAAATATATCTTCCTTCTTCATGATGGCACTCTAAATCGACGTCAACAATACTTACTAAATGAAGCTCCTTTTCAAGGTGCTGCCTCACCAAGTTCATCATCAAAGTCTCTGAGATGCATCCACTAAGTCTCAACGGTTCACCGCCAAACACACGAGGAAGCGCACACTCAAAAAAAACGTGTACGCGTCTAAACACTGAATCCTCCGATTCCATATTCCGAGCCAACAAGGTCATCAAGGATCGCATTGGGCACTTGCGTGCCTCCTCGCGCCGTCTCTCCAAATCAGGAAACGTAGAATACTCAAAAGTCAAGCGCTTTTTCGCTGTGGCAACCCAATCCTCCAATAATTTTTTTAGGAAGCATGAAAGCACTGGCCATTGACGTACAAGCTCATCACTTTGAGGATGCGTCACTATCACACAAAAACGCCTTTTTTCACCACGTGCAAGTATATCTGACAAGCAAAATGACACACTAGCAATCCCACCTGCTATTGGATCCAACATAATTACAGATTCTTCAGTTGATTCGTTGGAAGCAAGAACGCGTGCCACAACCGCTTTCATCCGCTCCTTATAATCTGAGCACAACGGTCCACTAGCCACTCGAGCGCTAAATAGAATTTTCCCATGCAGTGCAGAAAGCTCCAATAATTGGGGACCAAAAGCATCTATTTCTTGATAAGCGTAATATTCTGATACACATATCGCCTTTGGCCCCTCAAGAGAGTCAAACTCTCCCAAAGTCACCATGGGCACACTCCACAATGCTCGCAGCATACCTTCTAAATCACAAAAGCGAATAAATCCACAAAAAGAAAAAAAGCAAATATATAGGGAAGCGGCCCCTTCACAAGTCTTTTTTTTGGATATCAGCGCCTGCGAAAATAAAATAAAATAAAAATAAATTAAATTTTTTTCTTCTGTTCAAATTGAAAGCGCCGAAGACCACGTCAGTCCAAACTTCACACGCTCAAATAAATTCTTGTTACCATTTCTCCAGGAAATGTTGCCATGTCTATCAATTCCAACAGGGATCGAAAAATTCAATTCGAAACGCCCATTGGGTGAAACACCAAAAAGTGGTATTCTTGTCACTACCACACCAAAGCCAACTGAGGCGGCGCATGAACGAAACCATCGAGTAAGGTCCAATAATTCTGGCTTTGAGTCTATCATTTGTAAATTTCCCGCGTTGGCAAACAGATGCATGGCAGCCAGACCATTATTTGGGAAAAAGAGAAACGGAAAATTCAAACTGATTGATGTTGCCCATAGCGCATTACCACCAGTAGCAGCAAATCGTCCACCATCTCTTCCGCTAATGTCCATTGTAGAAGGGCCCACACTCTTAAATCCACGTACGTGGCAAGTTGAAAGGAATAGTCTGTCATTTAATGGAATTCTGGCCTGTTGGTACGACCATATCCCAGCCAACTTGGTGTTCCACTGAAAACTACAGTATGATCCTAATGGCCAGTATTTGGCTGTTTGTACTTCCGACTTGAGAAATGTAAATTGACCTCCAAAGGGTCCACCAGCGAGTTCATTTTTCATACTTATCTGACCTCCGCGAATTGGCAGGGGATACATATTGCACAAAAATGGATTTGCGTGGTATTCCGCACTTGACAAAGCCAATTCATGTTTGACATATCCTTTAAATGTTGTTGTAAAATCGTTCAGTAAATCTTCCCCTAAATCCCGCTTGTCTTTTGATGCAAGTAGTCTCCTCTGAAATCCAATAGAAAGATCTGATAAAACCCCGTTTTTTTCATTTCGGGTCGTGGCTCGTATCTCTTCTACTTTTTCACTGGTGGCAGGATGACACGTTTTGGCTTCGTCACGCTTTCCGATATAATACTCACCTGTTTGGCCCAAAAACGGGACATTTGAACGAATCGAGAAGGAAACAGCGTGGGTTCGCGAAGTTGGAGGGATATAGTTTCCAGAAACAGAATATCTGCCCCCTAGAATATTTTCCAATGAAAGCGTTAGCTCGGGGAGTACTGTTTCGGTTGTAAAAATGCCAAAAGACTTTGTGGCCTTAGATTCCTCAACATCGATATGGACACAAACATCATTCGGTTCCCCATCAAACGTAGGCTCTAAATTAAAGTTTACTGAACGAAAAATGCCCATGCGAGCCCATCTAGCCCTAGCTTCATTCATGTTATTGCTAATCTCACTTATAGTATGTGAGCGTTTAATAGCCTCCACGTCGCGGCTGATGACATTGGGGTGGATCCTCTGAATGCCCCTGATGCGTACATGAGTACGCACAGGTATATCAAGAGATCTTTCAATATCATCCTCCGTTATTCTCACTTCCTGAGAATCCAAGGCCGCTAGTTCCTGACTGCTCATAAATTACTTTGCAAATTCACCAGTCTACCTAAGTAAATAATATATGTATATATATTATTTATTTATTTATCCCGAGACCCCTCCTTAGAAGTAGAAAAGGAAAGTATTTCATAATTAATGTAATTAACGAGAAAAAACCTTACAAAAGCAACAGACGTCGAAGTCATAAAAACGGAAAAAAAATAGGTTTCACCCTCATACACGAATCTGGCTCCTCATACATCACGAGATCAAGCAAAGGGTGTTCTAATAGTTTCAACTTGCCGATCATCAAAAAAGCAAACAAACGCAAAAGAAAAACATCACTACTCACCTTGATACACCCTACCTCGTTCAAAATTTGGGGGATACCACTCTTGCAGAATAAGCTGGGGAAACACATTGGGTTTTAGTGTTGAAGATCCTAGCAGCATGTTTACGCACTCCTGAAAACCCTGTGCCATGGCAGGATAAGCCGTGTGAAGCTCACTTAAATTGTAAATCGATTCTCGATAATGAATTGCCAGTGAAGCTAATTCGACAACACTACTTGCGTGAGGTCCAATAGCTCGAACGCCAAGAACTTGCATTTTATGATCATTTGTTACTATCAACTTCACAAAACCTTTCGTATTCCCCATAGCCACAGCACGGCTTACAAATTCATAACCATAGCGAGCCATTTTGTATGCTATATTTTGTTTTCGGCACTGTTGTTCATTTAAACCAACTGCCGCAACTTCTTGATCAAGAAACATAATTGTTGATAAATTATCCAACCTCTGGATAAATTCCCCCTCCATATAAGGAAGGTACATGTGCTCAATACAGGAACGTCCTTCTAACTCACCCACATTAACAAGAGCTACTTTTGTACTTACATCTCCACAAGCATAAATATGTTTGTGAGGTGCCACACGATTAAATTGATCTTTCTGCAACCTACCCTGTTTTAGCACAATACCAATCTTTTCTAACCCTATCCCATTCAAGTTTGGCTCTCTTCCGATGGAAACCAATGCATTGTCCACCACGTGAGTTGTAAGTTTATTATCTTGTACGTCACGTAAGGTGTAATGAAACTTTCCATTTTCCACTTTGTTACTCTCCAAGGCAGAATGATGATGAAAATTCACCCCTTTGGCTTCGAGCAGCTTTTGAACAAAGGTGGCTACATCATCATCTTCCATTGGCAAAATGCGCTTGCTCTTTTCAATTACATTTACCTTTGTCATACCAAAGTTTGCAAAAATAGAGGCAAATTCACACCCAATCACACCCGCACCTATGATAACCATGCTTTTCGGAAAAGGTTGGGTCATGATATCATCCGAGGTAAAAACAACCTTGCCATCACCAATTACAGAAGCATGTTTTCTCGGTTGAGCGCCACTTGCAATAACAAAGTAGTCTGCTTCCACAGTTTCCGTTTCCCTATTTTCTAACTGAACTTCAACACTGTTTGAAGAAGTAAAGGCACCATAACCAGGTATAACGTCGATATCAACAGCATCCAGTTGTTGCAAAATCTGTTTGTGTCGAAACTCGGCGGCATATTGTACAGCCTTTTGAACATTTTCAAACTCTATATTCGGGAGAGGCTTGCGAGATTTCATGAAACGATTGGCAGTTTGTCCATTCATCAACCGGACAAACTTCGACATTTCCCAAAGCGTTTTGGACTGTAATGCACCATTCCAAAGATCCGCTCCACCAATCCGAGATGCCTCAACGATACAGGCCTTTTTCTGATAATCCACTGCGCGCAACGCCGCCGCAATACCTGCTGGGCCTCCACCTATAACACATACATCGACCTTTTTAGCCAAATGGTGACAGCTTTGACGTAGCATCTCGCTAATTAAAAGGGGAAAAAAGCCAAACAAAGGGGGAAAAAAGACAAAGGAATTTTTTTTTCCTTAGTTTTTTTGTCTTCTTCCTTTTTTTTTGCTGTTCTGTAAGCACCCTCAGAAATATATGAGTT